CCTTCAGAGTTGTGTGCCCGGACAGCAACCGCTGCTCTCTGCTCTGTCTTCAGAGCTGGGTGGCTGGAGACCAGATTTCATGGACAAGATTTTCACAGCCACGAATTTGGTAGACCCCTATTCATAACCCAGAAGGCAGTGTCCTATAAAAGTATGTTTCTATTTTGTCTTTGAGTATCATTTTTTAGAAATATCACTTCATACTGGGAGGAGCATTCATCCTTGCAGAAATGCCAGGTCACAACCCACAACTTCGTCAAGCACCATTTGAAAGGTTCATCAAAACTAGCTTCTCAGATTTCTTTCTAAAACTCATTACAAATTAATTAATGGAGTTTGAGGAGTGGGAGGAAAACTACACTTTCTCTATGTCAGGTTGCCTGTGTAGGGGAAGATGGTTCTGAAATTCCCCTGGCTTCATTGCTTCATTCACTACTTGTTTTTCCAGGCTGAAGAAGAAAGAATTTAGTTTAGAAGAAATTTACACAAACAAGAACTACAAGTCCCCTCCAGCGACCAGGTTGGTTACATTCACCAACAGGTGGGGTGAGGCATATGTAATTGAACTGGTTGGAGATATGAAACTACAGGTCTTATGGAAATAAAAAGAGAAAAATAAGCACCCTTCAAAACAGAGTTGAAATGATGGCTCTGATTTGAACTGCTGAAGAAAGGTAATTCAGAAAGCAGGTTGAAAATCTGTCCTTAATATCTGAGAGTGATTGGGGATGGGGCGTTTACAGTAGCAGGAATTGAGAACTTATACATTTTGAATGTTTAAATGTCACTTTTTTGTATTTAACTTTTATTTGCACTCATTTAATTGTGCAGCCAATGTATAGTACCCATTATTTCCAAAATTCAAAAGCAAACAAGATATTCCAAAATTATACTGACATGGAATATAGGGACTGGACAAACCCCATGTGGACCTCAGTGCAAAATAACAAGAATGCTGCTTTACAGACAATTTTACATTTTTTCCCCCTTTTTAAAAAAAAATCCTTTGTCTAGGTCTAAATGCCTCTGTTCCTTACGATAAAGATGCCTCTGTTCCTTGGTCTGCGCTTTTGGACTAAAACAGGCAGAGGGAGATTCCACCTGGATATCTATGCACCAACAAGAAACTATCCAGAAAATATACTAACAGCTGGGTGATGTGAAACTGTTTCTAAAGAGAAGTGGTCATTGGTTAGAAGCATGAGCTCCAGATAAATTTGCATGCAAGAGGCACCAGAAGGATCATTGAAGTGTAGAATCCTAGAAGTTAGAAATGTAAAAGGCCTGAGTCATCTAGTCCATTTCCCTGATGCTGCAGGATGGTTCCTTTCACTTCTGTGAACGAAGAAGTATATCACTCTGATATTCTAACTTCTACCCTTTGCCCTTCCCAGGTGTCTGGAAACCATCTTTGAGGAGCCCAAGGAGAAAAATGGATCCTTGATCTCAATCAGTCAGCAGAAGAGGAAGCGGATTCTGGAGTTCCAGGACTTCACTATTCCCCGGAAGAGGAAGGCACGAAGCAGAGTGAAAGTGGCGGGTAGTTTCACCCGGGCAAAAAAGGCTGCACTACAGGGCAGAGAGCTAGATGCCCTCCTGATTCAGAAACTAATGGACCTTGAAGCCTTCTTTGCAGAGGAGGAAGAACGGGAGCAAGCATCTGGAAGCTGAGGGAAGCATCCAGTGGGAAATGGCTCGGTTCCTTCAATGCTTTGATCTGCTTGGGGAGGGATCTGCCTATTCCTCCAGACCTTACCAACCACTCAGTTCTAATACCTGATGATCGTTTGTTGGCTGTCACCCTCTTTGAGGTGCTAGTGTGTGTGTGTGTTTTAGTGATGCAGGAAAGAATCCTTTAATTCCCCTGCATGAGTGTAGCACAGCCAGGAGGCATGCTATTCCTCCCCAGCCTCTTTAGAAATTGTGGCTAATGTTTAAACACCACCTGCAGGTGGGACAAGAAGAGTAAAGGAGGAAATAGTACACCTTCAATGACACTAGGATTCTAAATACTCCTGAACTTTTGCACATTCATTTGAGTCTGCTGTTTACTGTAGTGGCTTGTCCAGACAACTTGACGATAGAGGTAGGTGAGATGAATTCAGAGAGATGAATTTAGGTAGGTGGGTTCTTGAGATTCCACAAACGTCAAAAATTAAAGAAAAATAGTTTGTTTGCTTTTAATTACTTCCATGTCTGTGCCCAGAAGTTTTCTTCTGTGATTCAGTTGCCCTTCCTACACTCAGTCAGCAGCAGCCATGACCAGGTCTTAAACAAGTTGCACTTTGTATGTGTTTTTCCTTTATTTGCTGCATGAAAGGCGCCTTTTACTGTTACTTGCCTTGGTTTTTTTAATCCCACATTAAGAAAAATGGCGCTAATTGCTAAGTTCTAACAAATTGTAGAGTGGATTTGTTAACCTGGTTTGCTGGTGCTTTGCCTTTGGGCGGAGGGGGAAAGGTAGGGAGTAGCAGAAGGATATTACTAATGTTCAGTTAGTGGGACTATGCTCAGAGACATGGCACCAGGAACTTCAGTGTGAAGTTTATACTCTTTTTAGCGTTTTTAATTCTGACAAGAATACTAATTTGACCTGAACAAGCCAAGAAGATTTTTCTCCATCTCATCTTTCTACCATTTTAACTTAGAATTCTAGTTTGGGATAGAGCTTCACATAGCTTATATAATTAGAGTTTCACTATACAGCAGTGCTGTACTTAATGGCTAGTGTTGTACAAAGAGATTCACTCAAGCCTCCTAATGTATAAAAAGTGGTTTGGTTTGGTTTTGAAAAACTTAAGGCCATTCGTAATTTGAAGTAGCACTGGGTAGTTTCTCAGCCATACTTTTGAGGGACCAGTGCTCCCCTCTGGGATCCTTACTTGAAGCTGCAATTCAGGTAATTTCTGTTCTTCAGTGCCTACAGGAGTTATTCAGGCAAAGCTTAATAGGATGCTGTCATTGCTGACATTCTCAAAGTTTAACAGTTCCATTGTTTCTTTTCCCTGCAACTTGCACTTTTTTTACCTATGTGCCCCTACAGCAACTTTCTATTTACCTCCAAAATCAGCGTGTACGTCAGACATCTCGTGAATGAGCTTTATGACCCAGTCCAAACATGGGTTGAGGATACCCCGCTATCTTTTTTGCTGGTCTGCCAGCTTTGTTGTTGACCTGACAGAGAACTTAAACTGACGAGCCATCTGTTAAATTCAAGAACTTTGAACAGGCAGGAAATGTTGGATGATTGCGCTGTGTGACTTCAGTGAATAATGTTCTGGGTTTGTTTTGTTCTCAGCTCATTTGCTGTGATTCTTGCACTGTTTACACCCTTGTTTTGGGGGTTGATCATCTTTACCCAGTGAGGAAAACTGAAATAGAAATGCAAACTATCGCTTTGGTTGTTTTACGCTGATGGAGGCAAAATTTGGGCCTATTGACATACCATTTTGGCTACTGCTGTACAGGTCCATTTGATCCATTGAGGCTACTAAGTGATACCTTAATCAATCCTCCTCATATCATGAAAGGGATCCCTGAAAATAACTAATCACAGTACTGTGGATATTGCCTTCTAAAATGTTTTTTAAACTCCCCATACATTCATGACATCAGCACAGATATTGACTGACTGTGCTTTCATTTTTATGCCACAATGTGGAATTTCATGACACACTATTACAAAATGAATTAATGCTGATGTGGAATTAATGCTAATGAGGGAACTTCTGGCTCTATGGTGGAGTTGGGATGTAACCTCAGTGGGGGTTTGTGAAGTGGGTGGGTGGGGAGAAAACTCAGGTCCAAGCAGGGTTCTGCCCGCTTAGCATGTGCTTTGAAACATTTAATTTGTTTTTACCTTTTGTTCTTTGTCTGCTTCTTTCCTCTCAGCCTTGTTTATTGTCATTTTGAAATAACATTTCACAGAAAGCTCTTTTTGTTGCTACAGCAGAGAGAGGCACAATGAAAATATTCAGCTCCATTTCACTTACAATCGCTGGAACTGTTCAGGTCTGTGATTTCCCCAACATACCACATTCCCCAGGATTTTTGAAAACTCTAACACTTCAGCATTATCATGATCAAGGGTTTTTTTTTATAGCTGTGTAATGAAGGTATAAGCTAATCTAGATACCCCCTGCCCCCTCTCTTCAGGTCATCGAACCTTAATCATGCTTGTGTGCTTCTCCACAACTTCTGTTCCTGTTTGTAGTGCTCCTAGAGCAGCAGCCTTGCTCTGACTTTTGTTTGTGGCAGCAACTTATACTGTGAGGGACAATAGTGCAATGATTGGGTGTCTCAAACTCCAATCTGAGCTGCTTTTGTCCCATGTAGTCTTTTTATGAGAGAAATGTGGAGGATGCAAACTTTTGGGTATTGACATTTTTCTCTAGCGTAAGGAAGTGTACACTTGCCTCTTCCTAAGATGGAGCCACCCAAATGAGGATTTTTTTTGTCGTATGGAAAAGACCTTGTACATATGGCTCTGTGAATTACTGAGAGTGCATTTAAAAGGAGAATTTGCAGAGTTGTCCCCATGTACCCTCTCAGGAAAGAGCCCAGCAATGCAAGCTGAGCATCTGACAAACGTAGTTGGCTGGGGATGGATGGGATTTTTACTTTACTGAAATCAAAGCTTAATGTTCTCATCCAGCTGCAAACCAAGCAGCAAAAGGTACTTGATGCATATTGAGGGGGCTTTCATGATCCTGTATCTCCAGGACTGTGTACGCTTGAGTTCTGATGCTTTCCGGATATGGTTTTTGGCAAGCCATTCTCATTTACTGTATCCTATTCAGAGTTGGGTTCTGTGGTGTGGTAGATGTCAGTCACTCCGCTGGAGAGTGGATGCTAACTGCCTGAATGAGATGTGTGTCTGATATTATCATGTTAATAAATAGCTCAATGGAAATTTGTACTCTCTTTGTAACATTAGCCTCTATTATGCCTCTGCAGATTAGTTTCTGTTTAATAGTTTGTGAATCTAAAATTCCACTGATTTTTTTTTTCTTTTGTGTGTGTGTTTTTAATTTATGGAAATAAATTTTTTTTGAGAATCTTTCAGTTGTTTACTAAAGACTTTGGGTTTTTAATCCCTCAAATACCACTCTTATTTTGTGCCTTAAGTTAGTTCAGGTTTCCCACCTGTGAAAGGAGGATAATATTTGTCTCTTAATGGAGCTGTGAGAATGAATTCATTGTCTGTAAAGTGTTTTGAAATCCTTGAATAGAAGTGCAAATATTGCTTCTCTTTAGCCAGTAACTGTTTAGGCTACTGTGTAACATTTTGCACACACATGAGATGAAGAAACTGCATGCAGGCTTGTGTACAGTACAGAAAAACAAATCTCCAAACACCACCTAGGTGCTCAGGTAAGGTCCTTGGTCCTAATGTTTTCCTGTTTATAAACTACCCAACAACACTGGCAAGTGCAGGATGGGCTGCATGAATTCTGTATTCTGTCCCTGTCTGATTCATTCCTTTTTTCCCCTCTGCTCTCTCCTGTCCAAACCAGAGGCTACATGTTGCAAGCACCAACATGCCAAAGAAGTCACTGGTTAGCTGGGGTAGCTGCTGAGTGTTGCACTGCTCCTTCTGAATTCCACTGCTTCTATATAGCTTTGCTGCCCCAAAGAAGGTGGGGAGAGAACTGGGGTATTAAACACAGGCCTACTACACTATACATAGCAGTTAGTGTTGCATGACAAGGTTAACCTCTGCAAAGTAGTAAGGTATTGTAAATTCCTGCCTATGAGACACTGAACAGTCAGACAGAATTCATAACCCATGAGAGATTAGAAACAATTAACTAGGCCTGCTCTTCATATACTACAATCTGGAAGAAACCAGGCTGATGACTTCAAACTAAGAATTAATCACTTTGATATAACAGATTTATTGCTCTAAAGTTTTGTATCTAGTCATTCCTGCAGAAGACTGATTTTTTTTTTTTCTCTGTGATTCGCATTTCTCATAACAAAGGACATCTGGCATTCTGGACAGACCCTAACTACCTATAAAAATGTTGCTGATAAAACAAAACTTGCAGTTGAAGCTGTTATGCTTTTTAATTTTATTAATCCTACATTCTATCGTAGTCTTACTAATGTTTTCTACTAGTTTATGTACACTCAGCTGTGGAAGTCCCCTCCTGGGTTCAAAGTGCAGTGCTGCATCAGTCCAGTAGATGGTGTATGAACTCAAAGGAAGGAAGTGGAGGCATGAGGAAGCCTAAACTTGCATTAAATATGGCGGAACGAACAGATTCAGCCCAGGAGCATGACCCTGTGTACTCTGCAATTCAGTGGCTGCAGTATTTGACACCAAGATGCCACAGACTTCTCCTTTTTGCTGCAGCACGATGCACTTTCTTTGGTTTCCTTGTCATATTGGGACTCGGCTATAGGTAGCTTTCCCCAGGAGGGCAAGTGAGTTGGATTACAGTGCATGCTCCCTGCACTGTTTCATCAAGCCAGGCAGAAAGGAGCCAGGGAACAGGGGAGCCAGAAGTAGAGAGACTGCTTGGAGAACAGCACAGCAGCCAGGGAAACACAAGCTGATAGAGATGGCTACAAGCTTCTCTCTTCCCTAGAATGTATGAGACAACCTGGAGAACATCACAGGAAAAGAGGCCTGGAAATGGAATTAAGCCATCTGGAGAATACAGCAAAAATGTTGAAATTCTCATCAACAAATTTTATATCCATCAGTATTTTTGACTAATGCTTCACAGTCAAATACTCGGTGATCAAAAATGGTAAAATATTTTCAGCAATGATTATTTTCAAGTTTTATGTGTGGTTTTTTTGCTGTGCTAAGTGGCATGGCTCCCATGACCTCACATCCTGTGCTGTTCTCCAGATAATGCAGGAGGCTAGCCTTCACTTCTTACTCCTCCTCCCTTGGGTAATTTAGGGTAATCTAAACCTAGTGGAAATGGGAGGGGATGAAAATGAGGGCTATTTCATAGCAACAAAATATGTTGTTACCTAATCTAGGAGTTCTTGCTGCAGAATTTGATGAAATGATGTTGCAGAGAACACAGATCCCTGTCCATGAGTAATGTCCAGACCAGGGGATGTCCTCTATCATGGGAAACAAAAATTACAAGTAATGAAACTAACGTGCTCTCACAATCCCTACTTAAATTTCCTATCATCTGTCTGAAGAGGACTGGCTTGGATTTGTTTTGCCACTCTTAATATCCTGCTGAATGGTGGTGTTCTCTGCACCCTGGGCTAATGAGGCTGCCTGTGCAGCACTCCCAGCCCATTCTAACTAACTAACTAAGAGAATGGTTCTAGGAATCCGCCTCGTGCCTGGTAACGTACAATGGTTCCACAAGGTTGCAACTGAGTTCTTAAAGTTAATGCGAACTACAATGCGAACAAGACACCACTCCCTTTCAGAGACCTTGCACTGTGTTCCAGCACCTCCTCTTGTAAAAAGCGAACAGTTTAACCATATACATTGTGAGAAGGTTCCCTAAGGTTTGGATGAACACAAATTAGATTATTCTCAGTCATGAGAAATACCCTGTTATGTGCTGCTCTTTTGGACAAGAATGGGAACTCCATTGTTGTTCCCTTCCCACCATCCCCACCTCCTATTAAGAATATAGGAACTGGTTCTGATGGTAGAAACTTATTCATTATAGATTGTTAATTTCCCAAGGGATAACTGCAAAATCTGTTGATTCATTTGGTACACATTCTTGGCTGGTCATACAAACAGAAGAGAAATAAACCCTTCCCTGTTCATAGCAGAAATGGATACACTTGTCTGTGCTAGATGTAAATATATAGGTAGTGTGTAGCGGCTAACTATAGCAAGATCTATGCATATAAAAGTAATGTTGTAGTTACCTCAGATAACAAGTTGTTTTAAATGAAAATGTAGTATAAATGAAACATGTTAGGGGAACGACGCACTAACCTGTGTTATGTACTTGGTCTGTAAAGGTAGGAATAATTCCTAGGCCCAATGTGGCCCTCAGCGTGGCCCTGTCCTTCCTATAAAGATGCTGAATTGTGGGGGTGGGGAGTGGGGTTTAAACTGGAAATACTGCGTTTTGATCTTAATTGCTGGTGCTGCTTTTCTGATGCCAGTGGCCCAGTCTCAAGGTTTGCTGTCTGATCTGTACTGCTCTGCATGGTGCCATACTCCACACCAAGTGGAGTGAACGTAGGTAACAGGCAGTGCTTCTGGATAGGAAATGGGAGTGACATTTGAGAAGCATTATCAGCACCTCCAGCCCAGTAGTTGTCATGGGGAATGGGGGAGTGTATATATTAGTAGGTGCAAGGTAACTGCAAGGTTTGGGTTTTTTCAGTATTTAAACGAGGTCTGTCTTGCTTTTATGAAACAGAAAATAGCCAGTCTCAAGTGGTGAAAATCCTCTTGGCATCTCTTGATTTCAACTTGGGTGGCAGTGGTGGATGTCTTGCGGAACTTCTGTGTGTCGTGTCTGTAGATATGTCTGCACATCTAAGATGTGCAGATATCCTGTTTGCAGAATTCTAAGATGTCTATAAATCAAAATACAGTGTTTTTAATTAAAACTCTCAACTATAAAATTACAGTTCTGTCTGAACAGTTCATACATACCACACCTAAAGTCAGTAAAACTGAAATGCTAGTATGAATCTTTTTATTTTCAGTTTTACTCTGCCTTTAACAGCACTTTATATATAGTTGGCTTCATGATTTTGTTGATGGCCAGCTGCATACCTTGATATTACTCTCAGTAGCTTTATACAAGACTTTTATAGTAATTTAAAATTCTCCAGACATACTATTGAAAAGAGTTTTGGTTTTTAATAATTCAGTGTGACAGTGTACCTTTTAAAGGCAAAATTAAAATTTTAACTAAAAAAACTCGACCTCTCTCTCCCCCAATCTTGGCATCTCCAAGAAAGAAATCAGTGACTCTTTCCCACCTACCCCCAGCCACAGAGCTGGTCTGTGGAGATCAAAGGGCAAAATCACAGCTGGTATAAATGGACCTGTCTTCAATAAACCTGTGCCTGCTTTACACTACCATTGATTTAGCCACAAGATTAAACTATAACCTGCTTAGCTATTCACTGTCTTCCCCCCCGTGTGAGAATCTTTTAAACCGTGCAGTCAGTGGGTGTTACTGCAGAAGTGCTGTCTCTGCTGGGAGCAACGGTTATTTTAACAATGTCTGTGGGGAAGCTCCCTAGAACAGGGATTCTCAAACTGGGGGTCGGGCCCCCTCGGGGTCACGAAGTAATTACATGGGAGGGGTTGCGAACGGTCAGCCTCCACCACAAACCCCGCTTTGCCTCCAGTGTTTATAAAGGTGTTAAATATATTTTAAAAGTGTTTTTAATTTATAAGGCAAGGGTCGCACTCAGAGGCTTGCTACGTGAAAGGGGTCACCAGTACAAAAGTTTGAGAATCACTGCCCTAGAACATTCACATACCAGTGCCCACAGGCAGGAATTGCTGTCAGGAATTTCGGCTGTGGGGGAACTCCCTAGCAGTAGTTGAAGTAGCAAAAATGAGTTTGTCAGTAGGAGCTGACAGCTACTGTCCAGGCATGTTTCTAAGGTTGTATGTTCTAGCTCAACATGAACTACGTCACATTACCTGCATGTGTGCAGTTAAACACAGATTCTGCCAGCTGAAAGAAGGGCTCTCCAAGAATTGACTGATAGCCCAGGTGACTTGTGTGAACAAGATACTGAGTAGCATCTTTAAAGAGCAGATCACTTTCTCCATACTTCTGTGAGTGAAACAGATGGAACTTAGAATCCAGATTTGTTTCCAGAGTTTCCTTAACAGAAAAGAAAAGAAAAAACTCAAAGCAGAAAACAAAATAGATGAAGCAGGTGAGTTTTCAGCCATGTAGCAACCTCGCAAAGAGAGAGATGTATAAGGTTCAGCTAGTGCTAGCCTTATTTGGGGCTCTTGCAAACTCCTCCCGCATGTTAACTCATTGTCTGTTACAGGACCACAGAGGCTTGTTTCTCAGCAAGAATATGAACATGATGTAGGAGCTACTGGTGCTGAAACTCTCCTTTAGTGAATCCGAATGGTCTTTTCGTTAGTCTCCTGTGCAGTCTTAAACCTTTAGTGCTGGCTGTGGAGGTACTTTATTTCTTATTTTGTTTGGAAGGTTTTGGACTCTGGACCTTGATGGGGTTTCAGTAGTGTGTAACCAGAACAGGATAACAATCTTTCCCATCTTCTGCCTTACCTGGGATTTCATCAGGAAGCCGTAGATCTTGGTGGTAGTCACTGGTCGAGTCATGACTATGTTAGGAGGAACAGGGCCGAGGTTACAGTCTGCCCAGTCTGTGACTGCGACACGCCTTCCATCCAGACACAGCAGCTCAAAGTCGTTGAGGGTATAACCTGTACCCCAACCTGAGCTTTGCAGACCTGCAAAGGAGATAGAGAGGCAGCAGGGTTCAGCTCAGTAAATCCCATGTCCACGCCATCAGCTAGATCTCAGTTGAGACAAGGTGAAATCCCATGCAAAGTATTACCATTGGAAAGGGAAAAAACAATCAGTGCACTGTGTTCGAAGTACAACTTGCCACAGTCCTCTATAGAGGATGTATAGTGGGCACACTGGAGTTTCTGTAGGGAGGCTTTGTATTTCAGTGACTGTAGGCTGTGACAACTGCAATGAATATCAGTGCCATATCAGCCCATCAATCCATCTCAACCTGCCGCTGGAAAGACCTCTTAGAGAAAAGCTAATTCAGTCTCCATGACCATTCAGCCATTAACTGCTCTGCAGAAATTGCTAATCAGTGTGTCTGTTCAAATGGAGGTCCAATTCCTTATAGATACGTGTATCTTTTCTGAAAGACTACACAATCTCTTACAAACGCCTTTCCCTGGAATTTAGACGGCAGAAATTTTAATGTGCTGTTGGGAAGACTCTACTTAGTGGTTTGTAAAGCCAAATGAAAATGGAGTTTCTTTTTCTCCTTCCCTTCCTGAAGGCTGTGATCTGTTTTATCTGCTATTAAGATTGGCAAAAGGAATGTTTGGGGGGTTTCAATGCTTTTCTATTGTAAGCGCCTCTAACCAAAACTGATTTTCATTTTAAAACATGCCAGTTGGCAGCCCTTCTGTCTGTTGTACTGCTCTGCTTTTTGCCATTTCTGAAGTAACTTAGTTGAGAACAAGTAGCTAATTTCAGTAGTGAGATTTTTGCAGCCACTTATGTTCACTGTCCAAAATAACACACCATGATAAAGTCAGATCAATTCTCTTGTTATGTAGAGTCTGTTGGAGCCACAGAGCATTTCCCAGCATAAGCAAGGGTTTTACACTTCAGCATATACTGTGGTATCTCTTACCTCACTGCCCCGATTTTCTTCACTCTCTGGTCAAGCATAACCGTATACAACTACTGCAGCTGCCTCTGGACAAGGCTGTGATGCCACGGGGAGTCAATGGGTTTTCTGGAGCTATTTAGGGGCCTTTTTCCCAAATGGGCACTTTCCAAGTCTTGTTTCTCCCTGTCTTCCTGCTCACACTGATTATTTCCTCTTCTTCCCCACCCCCACCCCAACTAAATTGTAACTGAATCTTGTGCTTCATTGGCGCATTCAAATGCAGAAAGGTCCTTGTGACTTGAAACCCAGACAAAACAGCTGCATGCTCAGATTAGACCTTTGTATGTGGATGTTTTGGAATCATGATCATTGTGTGGGAAGAAACTTTGGTACCAGCTGAAATACTCAAAGGATGGGACAAACAATCTCACTCTCAATATTCTTGAGCAGGTTATGATGTTCCAGGAAAGCCACGTCCCCAAAGCTCCTTCCACTGGGACTGCCGACTAGACACCTAGTGCAAGGGAAAGCAATAGTTTATCACAATATCAGATTAAGAGACTAGAACTTCTGGGAGCAGTAGATGACTGAAGGGTTTGGATACTAATCTGAGTCTAGTCTAGGTCACTGGCTGCCAAAAGGTACCACCATATGCTGAAGCAACTGATAATCTATGTGTGAAATGAGTTAGTGGTCTCAGTGGAGGTCTTGGGGAATGAGTGTCTGTTACAAATAACTATTTGCTTCCTTGCTGGCAATCTCAGCAAACAGACCAAAGTCTCAGCGGGCATGGAGACTGAATAACCTCCTCATTCCTAAAGCTGACTCCCAAATTGGAGTTGAGGCATATTGGCAGGGCAATATAAAGAAGCGTGCAATACCATATTGTATCTGGATTTCTGTCTCTAGGGCTGCCAAGCTAATACCATTCAACTACAGCGATTGGAACATTCTATTTATGCCTTCTCTGTCTCCAGTTATTTTATATTCTCTTTCCATTAGGTGGTGGGAATGATTCCCTGTCAACATAAAGAAAAGGAGTACTTGTGGCACCTTAGAGACTAACCAATTTATTTGAGCATGAGCTTTCGTGAGCTACAGCTCACTTCATCGGATGCATACCGTGGAAACTGCAGGAGACTTTATAGGGGCTTTAGGGGACGAGAGCTGAGGAAGCGTTGTTCTAAATCAGCCATAAAAATGTTGGCATACACAATGGCCCCACAGTATGCCAACATTTTTATGGCTGATTTAGAACAACGCTTCCTCAGCTCTCGTCCCCTAAAGCCCCTACTCTACTTGCGCTATATTGATGACATCTTCATCATCTGGACCCATGGAAAAGAAGCCCTTGAGGAATTCCACCATGATTTCAACAATTTCCATCCCACCACCAACCTCAGCCTGGTCCAGTTCACACAAGAGATCCACTTCCTGGACACCACAGTGCTAATAAACAATGGTCACATAAACACCACCCTATACCGGAAACCTACTGACCGCTATTCCTACCTGCATGCCTCCAGCTTTCACCCTGACCACACCACACGATCCATCGTCTGCAGCCAAGCTCTGCGATACAACCGCATTTGCTCCAACCCCTCAGACAGAGACGAACACCTACAAGATCTCTGTCAAGCTTTCTTACAACTACAATACCCACCTGCAGAAGTAAAGAAACAGATTGATAGAGCCAGAAGAGTTCCCAGAAGTTACCTACTACAGGACAGGCCTAACAAAGAAAATAACAGAACGCCACTAGCCGTCACCTTCAGCCCCCAACTAAAACCCCTCCAACGCATTATTAAGGATCTACAACCTATCCTAAAGGATGACCCAACACTCTCACAAATCTTGGGAGACAGGCCAGTCCTTGCCTACAGACAGCCCCGCAACCTGAAGCAAATACTCACCAACAACCACATACCACACAACAGAACCACTAACCCAGGAACTTATCCTTGCAACAAAGCCCGTTGCCAATTGTGCCCACATATCTATTCAGGGGACACCATCACAGGGCCTAATAACATCAGCCACACTATCAGAGGCTCGTTCACCTGCACATCCACCAATGTGATATATGCCATCATGTGCCAGCAATGCTCCTCTGCCATGTACATTGGTCAAACTGGACAGTCTCTACGTAAAAGAATAAATGGACACAAATCAGATGTCAAGAATTATAACATTCATAAACCAGTCGGAGAACACTTCAATCTCTCTGGTCACGCAATCACAGACATGAAGGTCGCTATCTTAAAACAAAAAAACTTCAAATCCAGACTCCAGCGAGAAACTGCTGAATTGGAATTCATTTGCAAATTGGATACTATTAATTTAGGCTTAAATAGAGACTGGGAGTGGCTAAGTCATTATGCAAGGTAGCCTATTTCCTCTTGTTTTTTCCTACCCCCCCCCCCCCCAGATGTTCTGGTTTAACTTGGATTTAAACTTGGAGAGTGGTCAGTTTAGATGAGCTATTACCAGCAGGAGAGTGAGTTTGTGTGTGTATGGGGGTGGGGGGGATGTGAGAAAACCTGGATTTGTGCAGGAAATGGCCCAACTTGATTATCATGCACATTGTGTAAAGAGTTGTCACTTTGGATGGGCTATCGCCAGCAGGAGAGTGAATTTGTGTGGGGGGGTGGAGGGTGAGAAAACCTGGATTTGTGCTGGAAATGGCCCAACCTGATGATCACTTTAGATAAGCTATTACCAGCAGGACAGTGGGGTGGGAGGAGGTATTGTTTCATATTCTCTGTGTATATATAAAGTCTGCTGCAGTTTCCACGGTATGCATCCGATGAAGTGAGCTGTAGCTCACGAAAGCTCATGCTCAAATAAATTGGTTAGTCTCTAAGGTGCCACAAGTACTCCTTTTCTTTTTGCGAATACAGACTAACACGGCTGTTACTCTGAAACCTGTCAACATAATTGCCTTTCATATCCTGCACTACTTGCTCAAATTCCACACCAGTTGTGCTGGCTGACCCTGTGGAGCAATTGTTACCTCTTCAGTTGGTCTCAGAATAGGCTTGGGTTTGTGCACCAAGTATCATTAGTGGATTATGAGTTAAGAATCACTATCTTATCTAGTTTTCCATTAGAAATGGCTATATAACTTTTAAATCTCCAGCCAGCTCAGCTGTCCCAAAGCAATCACAGTTGAAATAAAATACACGGACCCAAAGGCCATCTTTATGGTTACCAGCGTTTAAATATGAGTCCTGCCTAGAAAACCAGCAGGCAAAATAAATGAGCCATTTCTGGGTGATGCTTTTAAGCTTCGTCCTTGCCTCAAACAGAGGGACTTACCTGAGTGCACCCATGTTTCCATAGTAGCGTTCATTATGATTCGCAGCACACCTGCTGGACTCTTTCTCCCCTTCCATCTCACCACCTCCAATACAGACTTTGCATAGGTTCCTGTCTGCTCCTGGCATACAACCCTTCCAAAAATAACTCTGGTAAGCTAAGAGAGAGAAATTACGGGATTAGTCAATGTGGGGCATTTAAAAATATGTTCTTTCCTAATACAGTACAGGGACTGCTACTGACTTCTCCATTGTAAGATAGTTTGCATTTCCAGAGCCTGTTTCCTTTGTCTCACCCAGCTACTAAGATTAGAGGACCAGACACTTGATCCACTGAGTGGGTATGCTCTAAGACCTACAATAAAAGAGTTCACAAATTTAACTTCTGCTTGGGTGACGGAGAATAGCAAACAGCAAAGTAGTAAAACTAAACCTTGCAGGTGAGTAAGGCTGTCAGTGGGGGAATACTGACTGCATCACATTATCTACCGACAGGGATGCTGCTCACCTGCCAATATCTGGAAGTTTTAATTAGCCACACTGAGGGCAGCTCGGTTCCTAACACTTGACCCCTCTGATCCATTACAGACTGAATCTGCCAACCTTCAGAGCATGGTGCAAGACACTTTGATTAGGTATTAAATTATGGGTTTTAAAGTTGGGTATGGAGGGCAGTTGTTGGAGAGGATGGGGTATCTGTTATGGGCAGTATTTAATATTTTTAAACATAATGTGGTGATAAGCACATTTATAAATAATTTCCGATGTTGAGGTAATTAGCAGCGCTCCCCCAGAACTCCATTTGACCAGGAGAGTATTTTGGAGGGACATAGTGGAGCAATGGTGAATGTCTTAAGTGATGTGTAAGAATGACGGAAGTTTTCCATTCTCCCTCCTCCTTTCCCATACCCCTTGGCACCGTCATTTGTCCAGTTGGTAGATATTCTGGTGCAGTCCTTACCAGAGCCGATATCACAGTTCACAGTGTTGTTCTCCAGAGCCCCCACTGTGTACCTGGAGAGGAGCAGCCACCCCCCAGGACTGTACAGGTGACTGTGGCAGGAACGCCGTCTCCTCAGGTTATGGATATTTACATGCCTGGCATTCTTCTTTGCCAGGGCTACAGCGTAGACAGGTGGCAGTGCTGTGTGACAATGACAAGAACCAGTTAGACTGAGACAGCAAGACATCTTGGACGGGAACAGTCTCTAAGTTAAAAGTAAGTTTTAGAACCGGTTGTATCCTCCCTAAAATGACACTCCTGCCTCCCTTTCCCTTGTCGTCTGTACTGAGCTCTTTTAGTTGCAGGGAACTGAGAGCTGCATTGTCTTCTGAGCCACAAAAATTCAGTCCTGGCACTGCTGCCTGGAACAGTGAAGTCTCTAGCCCCCAGACAGAAGGATTCTCCTTCTTCCAGAACCAGTGCCTGCACGCCCCTTATGCTAGCGTAAGTCCCAACAGCCGCAGCCTAGGGCAAGGTACCATCACGACCTCTACATACAGCGAGAACTCCTCTTCCTGTCTCATAACCTTCCTCTATCCCTAATGGAGCTTTGTTTGAAAGCGTTTGGGTGTTTTGGCTGAGGGTCTGCTGCATGACATCCTCACGGCTCAGTGGGGATAAAGTATGAACCAGTAGAGCCCTGCAATTGCTGTTAGCTGCTCTGCTGAGTAGTTGGGAGTCACCCCACTTTCACAGGTCTTAGGAATTCTGTCTTACCCCAGCAGAGTTGCCTGAGCATCCGGGTGGAACCACTTCATTAAAGTAGAAACCCATACCTCAAAGATCCTTCATTACCTTTATCTGCAAGGTGGGTCAGCTTCTTTGTTCTCCCAGCAGCTGGGGCACACCCCTTTCCTGGGCAGGAGAGACGAGCAAGAGCAGAGTGATGTTTGAAAACCCAATACCATATACACAAGAACTGGTGACTGGTTGTTGAGTGTGCACTGAGCATGTACTAGATACCAACATAATCACTAAAGAACACCACACGTGTATAGGAAAGATGCATCTGGGAGAGTCTAATCAGTGGATGGGGGGTGGCCTATGCTAGGACTCACATTGCCAGCATTCCCGCCATAGAAAAATGAACCCATGAAGTGCACGTGGCTTGTGGGTCTGGCAGTGAGCACTTACTCAGTGCAGAGGATCTAATGACACGGACTGTTACTGAGACAGAGGGACTCTGCTCAGCTAGATGAAGAATTGGACTATGGGAATGTTTCCTTCCTCATATCCAAGTATCCGATCATAGTCTTCTCGCTTTCCTAGCCATGCTGGATCAGAGAAGGGTTTAAGGTCTGCCACGTTCCCTGTTCCCAAAATGGATGTGGTGTCATGGACTTTACAAGTGCAGAAAAAAGTTTTTTTTCCCCCCACCTCCCTCCACCCATCATTGAAGGTATGCCTACACTGTGATAAAAGACCTGTGGCACAGCTGTGGCTGGTTCAGCTGATTTGGGATTTGGGGCTATAAAATTGCAATGTAGATATTTGGTTTCAGGAGGAAGGTCCCAGAAACCAGGTTCCAGCCACAGCCAGAATTTTATAGCCCTGCAGCTCGAGTCAGCTGGCATGGGCCAGCCACAGGTCTTTCATTGCAGTATAGACTTACCTCAAAAGTTCCTGAGGAGATGCAGCTTTCTCTAGATTTTGGTTTCTCAAAGCTAAGAATCTTGCACCCCATCCATTAATTTCTATAATCCTTTGCATTTACAGCATTTTATCCAAGGCTTGTGAAACACTTCAAACACTTTATTAGAGACTTGCAGCATCTCTCTTGTGGCAGGTTAGTATAACTGTTTCCTTTTATAGGTGGGGAAACTGAGGCATAGATGAAGTGACTTGCCCAAGAGCTCACAGCCAGTCAGTGGAAGAACTGGGAAGAATATTCAGATCTCTTGGTTCTCCTTCCCCTGCCTTTGCAGCTAGGCACAGCTGTGTGGCAATTTTACCAGGTTTTTAACGGTAGTGTTTTTTGGGTTTTTTTTGTCTCCCCCATGCCAGCCCCTGAGGGATTATTGTGGAACAGAAAACTCACCATAACATTCTGCAGCTACTGAGACCAGCCCACATATCCCTGCAATGTAGGCATGCGTGGCATCCAGCGTGGCTGCATCGGCCTCATTACTCTGCCAACAATATCAGAGAGTAACACATGGGACCGTGACCGATATTGCAACCCCATGCAGTATCTTTGGGGACCTCAATATTACATTTATGAAGGAGGGTTACCACAGTTTCTTTAGGAAACTGTAGGGGATGATTAAGGTGAGTCACTAAGATGAAACAACTCTTAGAGAGGTACCATCCCCTGGGGAGGTTTGTGTGGACTAATTCAATCTGGTTTTTCATAGATTCAAACAAAAAATGTTTTTTGGTGTCAGAAGGCTGAGTGTAAACTAATTTTCAGTCTTCTTTTAATTCACCAAAGGGCAGAACCTTGTAGAAGGGTTGGAAAGACTTTGGCCTACTAGGACCGATGGGTGGCATCTAATAAGCTGTTAGCATGCATATAGGAATGTGTGTTGGTTTTTATACATTTTTCTCTAGTATTTTTGCCTAAAAATGAATATATTTTGCTGTGTGAAGGCTGGTTGATAACTGCTATACACTGTTGTGTAGCCTATAGAGAAAGGTTAACGACAGATACTGAACCCCAAGTCAGACCTGCTGGAGGAATCTCAGTGAGGTGCAGAGGGACTGCAAGTAGGTGATGGCTGAGAGCCTGAGACCTTAAGTGGGTGCCCTTGAAGACCAGGACAGGTGTTGTCAAAGGTGCAGTTAATTCTGAAATTGTGGTAGTGACAATTTAGAACCTGCATAACCTGTGTAACTGTCTATCTCTCCCATACCCCAGTGGCTGCAGTGGGGGGCCTGAGGACCCCTCGGTCTCAATTTCTGCAGCACCTCGGTTGGTTTATCTCCATTGCCCCCAGGTGTTTGGGACAAGGACAGACATGCCTGTGCCTTGCGTTCCTGTTTACTCCATATAGGTTCTTACCTTGATCAGCTCAATGCAGTTGGTCATTGAAGCGGCTTGGACGCAGACAAGGGGGTCAGATTTGATGTTCAGGGCCCACTCTTCACACTTGCGGAGCTCAGCATTGCTGATGCAGCACCAGCGTACCACACTGTTGTCCAGTGAGCTCCCTGCAGCAGCAGGACAGAGTGTGCAATGGGGTTAGCACTACCCATGTACTGAGCTGTCTTTACCAGTTGGCTTCTTTGGGTCTGTGCATGTCTCCCCCTTGCAAAGGGGTGGGGGGCCTCTCTGTCCCATTCCCTTGGGTGAGCTCTCACCTTCATGGCCTAGTCCCTTCAAGAGGGCTACGTAGTCCAGGCCAAGGATATGGGAGATCTGTGCTTTGTCCTTGAGCAGCTGCAGGTGCTGAGTGGCATCGTGGAACAGCAGGTTCTTCCCCTTGAATGGCACTGAAGTGAAGAGCTCAAACTTGGCCCTTTCTTTTCCCTTCCGCCCAAAGAGATGCTAGGAAAAGTACAATGGCTTTAGCTGTAGAGATGCTGCTCATCTCCTCTGTGACTAGCAGCCTTGTTGCTATACCTCCACTGTCTAGAGTCATGGCAAGCACGGGGTGATCATTATGTCGTACTCAGAACTCTAACACTCCCTGGGATTAGGGCAAACCCTCTGTGCATCAGTCTTAAGTGTTGGTTTCCATCTGTACATGGTCTGGGACCCAGTTATTTGAGGAACTGCTGCTTCTCCTGTTCCATCCGGATTATTGTGATTGGCTGCGATGCTCATTTTCTGCTCCAGCAGGGGAGACTGCTGTCTGCAGCATCCAGGCAGGAGCTCCAGACTACAGCATAAGATGTATCTGTTTTGGTTAAATTATTCACTTACCCTGGGCTATTTCAGGGGCAGGATATGGAGGGTTGTAAGAACTTTCTTATGCAGTTGGTGTTCAGTTTTGAATGAATATGAGATGCTTGGAGGCGGAGGCAACAAGCACTATTTATCCACTAGAGAATGTAAATATGAGGATGGATGGAGAAGTAATCAAGGGCTTGCACCCAGACGTCCCCGAACCATATGACAAACTGCATAATAATTCACAGTGGTGGGCACTTGGAGGTCAAAGGGAAGGAGACCTTGTTTGTTCCTCCTTTCAATTTCAGTGGCCTGGCCTCTCCCCCTCCACTGCTCGCTCCTACCTGAGCTTGTAGGAGTGAATCAGATTAGAGCTAGAGGAGACCTAGCTATCTCCCCAGGCCACAGCAGGATGGTTCTTCAGGTAGTGCTTTGTCCCTTGTAATTTTAAATATCTCTAAAGGATGGCGCTTTGCCCACTTTGCTTAGGAGACTATTCCAGAGTCTCATAGAGGTTGCTGTCAGGAAGCTTTTCCTGATATTCATCCTATATTTTCCCTTGCGTAATTGTTAGCCAAGATTCCTTGTTACTCCCTCTTGCGTAACTCCTCCCACCTGAGCATTTGCAGTGTTGAGTACTCAGATGTCGTTACACTGTCCCCCACTTACTCATCTCCTAGTCAAGCTGTACACCCAGTGCCTGCTTCAGTGCCTCAGCAGAGCACAGGTGATGGTCTGGGGTGGGAGAAACCTGACCTGGAGGGGATAAAGCTTGGGACTGTAGCACCATCACCCCATTGCAAATCTGTTCTATTTAGGGGGGAATGGGAAGAGAGACAAGGAAGAGACCCCTGGGAACTGGTGGGCATAGCCCACAAAATGGCTGTGGCTGGGCAAAAGGCCTAGGAGACGCATTAGTTCTGTGTGTATCCCAGGAAGACACTGCCAGAAGTTGGCGGAAGTTTAAAGCTCCCCTATGGGTGAATCTCTCCTCTGAGTGCACCTGCCCCATGACCAAAGAAGAGGCAAACCACCTCCTGTGCCCACAAGGGTGGTCCAAGCCCATACTATTAAATTACCTCCTCCTAATATATGGCATTACTGCTTTCCAAGCACTTCCCTCTTAAGTATGTTTCAGATTATTTTTCCCTTGGATTTGAGTCCAGGCTTGGAACTGGTAATGACACTCCTTTTTCCAGAGAAAGGGGGTACAGGCAGATGCCGGGGTCAGATTTTCTTGGTAACTGCTGGACGCTATTGTTAAATATATATATTGATATGCCCAGAGGCCCCAGTCAGGATCAAGCACTGATTTTAATACATGATGTACAAAAATGGTCCCATAGATATTTAGGTGCCTAACTCCATTGACTTCAATGGGAGTTAGATACCTAAATAAGTTTGAGGATCTGGACGTTACTATCTAAAGATCTCCACCCTCTGCACATTAATAGCAAATGGAGGGATGTAGCGAGAGCAAAGATCTCTCCAAATTTACACTAAGCAGCTATTAGTATCCTGGAGAGCAGAGAGAGACCTCCACTCTTGCCCTCTCTCTCCAAGACTGTATTACTTTGATATTCTGATCTAACTTTAAAGGCTGTGCACGCTCATCCTCTCTCTCCAATAGCCTTTGGAACTCCCACCAGGGTACCTGTCCTAGCAGATGGCCATGTTGGATGTCCCAGAGCAGCCTCAACACCTGCAGTCTAGCTCATTCCATCTACACACAGAGAGGGCTTGGAACCTGATTAGCAGTTCCAAATTACCTGGATCAGGGTGAGGAATTTCTTGGTGATCTTCTGGAAGTTGTGGCGACTGATGATGGCACGCCCAGGCCCACGACCCAGGTTACAGGTGCCATAGGCACTCAGCTTTGCTGTGGATCCATCAGGACACAGGAGCTCATATTCCTCTTGTTCTGAATCTAAAACAACAGGGCAGCTATCAAAGCTGTGAAGTGAAACCCGGCCTGGCAGAGGAATGGGAGACACAACATATTTCAAGGGAGCCTGCTCCAAGTCTCAGTGCCCAAGCAGGGCAGTGAATACTAACTGTCAGCAGGGAAGGTTTCTCTCTGTGCTGCTCCCCTTACCAAAGAGAGACGTTAAAGCACAAGGACATTGGCTGGGGAATTTGAGACGCTTTCTGAGAACCAATAATTTTAAATCTTCTTTAAAGAAAAAAGCTGCTAGACCCCTGTGAACGACCGACCTTGGGTATATGATGCAAATTTTTGGTCAAGTAAAAAGCCTGGCCAATGAAAACTGCTCCTCTAGAAGAGGTACCCATGGAATTTTAAAGGGTTCCTCACTGGTATACGATGAGCCATCCTGTATAAATAGTGACTGAGAGCTAAGGCAATAATCTAAAATGGAAAGCTTTGGTGGTTCTGACAAAGAACATCTCCTGTGAGCCACCATTTCCCTCCTAACCTTCCACTCTCCATTTCCCTCTGACTCTTGGAGATCTGAGGCATACCCTCAAGAGTTGCTTGCCTAGATTAAACTCAAACTGGAATCAATAATGAATTGGGCATCTCCCCACAAAGCATCCATGTAGAAAAGAATACAAGTTGCAGGCCAACAGAAATCTGAGTACTTGGGTTTACCTGTGCCATTCATTATAGTTAAGTGATCTAGGAAAGCAACATCTGATACCCCATTCTTCAAGCACCTGCAGAGAGATGAACACAATCCATTAGCACTTAAACCTGCTTTTCTCCTCCTGCCATCCCTTCTTCCTCCCAACCCCCAGCCACCTCTAATGCAAGCAGAGTGGGGGTGAGGTCACCTGAAGGCTCCCTCAGAGTTGTAGAAGGGCTCACTGCTGCTGGTCTCACAGAAGTGGTTCTTGTTCCTAACGTAGGATTTCGGTCCTTGACAGAGAGCACAGAGCTGAGGAAAGGTGACGCCAACACCAGGGATGCAGCTGGCATTGAAATATTGACTGATCACTGTAGACATAAGAAAAACAGTCAAGTGGCAAAGGCTGGAAGAGATAACAGTAGCATTCCTTAAGTGCTACTTGTAAAAAGTTATTAGTCTCCAGTGGGGATGGCTTGGTTGTCCAAGCTTCAGGTATGAAATACTTCCTGAAACTACAGGGTCAAAGCCTGGTTGGGTCAAGTCCATCTTTCTTCCTTCTGAGGGAGTTAAATTAAGTTTTGTGCACTTCCTGCATGTGGGCCCCCTACCCTTAAAAACCAGGGCCCTGTCTGCTCTGTGTGTTCATTAAAGAATCTGTGGCACTTTCTGTAAGAACCTGGAGTCTTTGACCAGCCTCTGCTCACTGTTGTGTACTTGCTATACCACAGCTGATTGCTACTCTCCATCCCAAAGGTGGCTGCATTTCACTGGTGCTGGGCAGCCATAGGATCCAATCCTCCATTTGGTGAGATGTGAGTGAAGAATCAGGTCCACCATTTGTCAAAGGCTTTGGGATCCTTTGGAATTAAAGGCACGATAGAAAGGTGTCAAGGTTCCTCCCCGACTCTGAACTCTAGGGTACAGATGTGGGGACCTGCATGAAAACCTCCTAAGCTTACTTTTACCAACTTAGGTTAAAACTTCCCCAAGGTACAAATTAATTTTATCCTTTGTCCTTGGAATATCCACTGCCACCATCAAACTCTAACTGGGTTTACTGGGAAACGTAGTTTGGACACGTCTTTCCCCCCAAAATCCTCCCAACCCTTGCACCCCACTTCCTGGGAAAGGTTTGGTAAAAATCCTCACCAATTTGCATAGGTGACCACAGACCCAAACCCTTGGATCTGAGAACAATGAAAAAGCATTCAGTTTTCTTACAAGAAGACTTTTAATAGAAATAGAAGTAAATAGAAGTAAAGGAATCACCTCTGTAAAATCAGGATGGTAGATACCTTACAGGGTAATTAGATTCAAAACATAGAGAATCCCTCTAGGCAAAACCTTAAGTTACAAAAAAGACACACAGACAGAAATAGTCATTCTATTCAGCACAGTTCTTTTCTCAGCCATTTAAAGAAATCATAATCTAACACATACCTAGCTAGATTACTTACTAAAAGTTCTAAGACTCCATTCCTGGTCTATCCCCGGCAGAAACAGCATCTAGACAGACACACAGACCCTTTGTTTCTCTCCCTCCTCCCAGCTTTTGAAAGTATCTTGTCTCCTCATTGGTCATTTTGGTCAGGTGCCAGCGAGGTTACCTTTAGCTTCTTAACCCTTCACTGGTGAGAGGATTTTTCCTCTGGCCAGGAGGGATTTTAAAGCCTTTAAAGCCTGCAACCCTTCCCTTTATATTTATGACAAAAGGTAAGACGATATGCTGTAGAAGCTACTGTACAGTGCTTCCCTTTCCCTAACCTCCCATTGAATACAGAACACAGATGTTTCCTGTTGCTCTTGCTAACATAGATTTTCTGTTGTGAGGGATCACTGAAAAGGCACTGGCAGAAGAGGGCTAGCAGCAAGTGGCTAAGCTTCCCCAAGTGGATATCTGGTCCACCAACCCAGAGGCTCTTTGGTCGTGGTGTGTTCCGCATAGTTCAGTAGGTGTTATACCTGCCACCACTTTACTCTCCTTTACATAGGCAGGAGCTTGGCCCCATGGTGTTGGTCACTGTCTACTCACCCACCTTGGCTCAGAGGCTGATCCTCATCCCAGAGGAGCTCATTCCTAGCCAGGAGGAAGCCCAGTGGGATGTTCCAGCCTGATGTCCACCTGGCTCCATTGTGGCAGCTACGCACCCCCCTTAACCTCTGGATGTCCAAAGTTCCTCGTCTGGCAATGGCCACAGCAAACACACAGTTTCCTAATGATGGGAAAGGGGAGATACAGGAAGAATAACTATCCCTTTAATAAACTTAGGACAACTGCTGCGGTGCACAGCGATGTGAGGATCTCTGTTCCAGGGCTAAGGAAAAAAGTCTCAAAATGTAAGAAATGCAGTTACCAGCATAAGCAGGGAAAGGAGAGTTGGTCTGAAAGGAACATTCTGTTGGTTATGTTACTACCAGGTTTGCCAAGACACTACCAGCTAGCCAAGAGCTACCAACATGCAAAGCAAGCAATATAGAACTTAGAGATGGAAAAGGTCTATTAGAAAATCCAGTCCATCTGTCCAAGGCCGGTGTAGCCTTGTTTTCATGAAACATTGCACTGAGCATTTGTGCTATCTAGTTTCAGATTCTGCAACCAATGGGGCTTCTGGCACTTACCTTCTGAATCTTTCACAGCCTAATACGTCTTAATTCCATGATGATTCTGATACTGAGCCAAATATTTTTCCCTTCCTTAATTTCATCCCTTTTTTCCTAGTTATTCCCTCAGATATCACTCTAATTTAACTCTCTCCTTTGGGTTTACTCCCTTCAGATCTTTTCAATCATGAAATTTTAGTTTTGGTTGGGCCAGGCTTTAGTTCTTACTCCTTCCTTGTAAGTCAACCCCCTCCAACCCACTGTTCAGTCCTGTTGTTCTTTTCCCTTCCATTTTTCAGTGTGGTTTCATAAGGGCTTTGTGATAAGGGGGAAAGGTAGGGATGTATCTTCAGTCTAGCTGCAAGGCTTGGAACTCCAGTATGCAGTGGGAAATGGATCTCCAGAGACAGAAGAAGGGGTGGGTTATAGGTACTGGGGACAGGATTGGAGGATGAAAAATTTTATTTAAGTGCAAGATATTATTGACATCTTTATCTCAAAGTGCTTTACAAACTTATATTAAGCCTCTTAAAACCCCTCTGAAATAGATGAGAGCTCCTCAGAGCTACTGAGGCATAGAGATGGGGCAAATTACTTTGTAGTGGTTAGAGCAGAGGATCAGATTTTATTCCTGCTTTGGACAGTGGCTCACTACGTAACAGATACTTTCTCTTGCTGAGGATAGGATTGATTCTCCTATAACGCTCTGGGCTGAGGTCTCCTTAGTTATCCATTGTAGTGCTTTCTCTGTTACTTTCTATCTTAGTGATAACATTCGGTTACAGTGAAGGTATTTTAGAAACAGGCGTTCCTGCTAACCTACCTTCCTCATAGATCTCCTTTGCCACCACAGTTAGGCCATACAGCTTCACAGCAGAATAAACATCTCCAGCATCCAAGGAGACAGCATCTGCTTTATTCACCTTTTTTCAAAATAAAAACATCCATTTAAGAGAGTCCCTCCATCCATGGGAACAATGAGCGATTTGAAGACTAGAGCTCTCACCACAGACTTTTCACAACGCTTGCCTCAATTTTGGTTGGATCCCTGTTTCTTGGCATGGTGGAATGTCAACCTGAATTGATTGTCAAATATGTAACATGTCTGTCTGTGTCAGTATTCATCCTGCATGAAGCCTGAGTATTCTTCACAAGCCTAATTTGGCAAGATGACATCCCTTCTCCACCTTTCCTTTGATCCTTCCACCCCAAGGATGAAATCCTGGTTCTGCTGAAGTCAATGGGAAAAACTCCCATTGACTTCAGTGAGGTCTGGATTTTACTCCAGATTTTTTTTTTTTTTTCCTTCCATATCCACCAATACTGGTTGAGTATTCTCCTCACCATTCATCCCCAGAAACCTTTCAGATACTCTTGCGTTCCTTCCTTAATCATACTATCTGCAGCTCCTACTAAGTATAGCTTTATAATCTATTAACAAGGAGCTCAGGACTGAATGAAGAGGTGGAGACAAGGTTCTTCTCTGACCTCAGGAGCAGCTGTTTTTTCCAAGTCAGAGCTGGGATCCAGTGGAGGAAGCCAGGGCTGAATGATAATGGAGACTGAATTCCCTTTTCCCAGTCAGGTTTCAGACACATTAGCGAAACTGAACTACTACTAGGAAGGCCAGGGCTATATTTTCCTTTCTCCCCAAAGGAATTTGTCCTTAAATGCACACAGCAGTATGAGAAGCATTATCCCATTAGTGAAAGCTGTCTTAAACCTCCAGTCACTTCACTGCCTCATCTCATATAAATTATAATTCAAAGATATTTTTATTTGGAAAAAGGATAGCTCTTTGGTTCAGGAAAGATTAACTAGAGGTTAAATGGGGAGGGGCAGAAAAATTGTTAAATATAGTTGAACTAGAATTGAAACCTAAAATCCAAGGGGACTTTTGGTATGTCTTCATGATTTAACAGCTGCTGGGAGGAGACAGATTTTGCTCATTTGCTCCCACACAGCTCTTATTTATTTCATTGGGATTACAAAGGTGTAGCACAGATTCTGTTTTGGCTCAGCAGTAGCTGTATCACTGATTAGTGATTTTTATCACCTGGATTCTTCTTGTCTGCGCAGATACTGTGTATTTTGTCACAGATGAAATAGCATCGCCATGATTGCCTAGATTTCACTTCCCTATGGATTCTGTGTAGTAGTAGTTACCACCCCCACCCCCGCCCTGCTACAGAAGAACTAGACTTTGGGTTAAGATAAACTCTGGGATTCTCTGCAGACTCACCCTGATCTTGTCGATACAGTCATGAGTATTTTGAGCTCTGATACAGGAAACCCTAGCAAAGGAGTTGATTGTAGCCAGAGGTAGGACAGCCAGGAGTACTTTAGATAACTCAGCACACTTCCTCTGCTCCAGGTCAGACAGCGTGCACCATCTGAACTTCTTCCCTGGAGGATCACAAGGCAAGACACGTGCTCTTTAAATGGGGAGAGGGAGATTCAGAAGAAGGGACATGGATGGAGGAAACTGACCATAGCTGATTTTAGTTTTTGTTCTTTAACAGGGAAAAAGTAGACTGGTTTCTAGGGTCAAAGTGCCAAAGGGAGGAAAGTCTCATCTTTAATGGGAACAGCATTTCCTGACTATTTCCCTGCGACTACCGCTTCAGTGCTAGGATTCTGTTTTCAATAATGAGAGGCCCACACTAAAAGCACCAGATCCAAAAAAACAAAAAAAAGGGTACTCTAAGGGTGAGTTTGAAATCTATACCCCAATCAGCAGTCATTTGCAAAAATCAGACACTATATATAATATGCTGAACCAAAACCCTAGATCCAAACACTACTGAACTTTGGGCTTTTGAGATCACGATGGGAATTTTACGGCTTGGGCCTGTTCCTAAACAACATAGCTGCCTAAGTTATCCAGGGGACAATGAAAAACTGTTTCCTGGACTTTCCTTTGGTTAGAGAAGTTTGCTTCACTTGCTGAAATCTGCCAAGGAGGAACAGGAACTGGGGTAGCTTGTAAATACTCAATGTTTCTAGAACATTTTAAATTCTCAGAGCACTTGACAAACATTAATCCTTGCCACCCCACCACTCTGCCATGAAGTAGGCAGGAAATATTATCCTCATTTTATAGATGATGTGCAGAGAGGTTACATGCCTTTCCCAAGACGAGACTGAAAACCAGTGCCAGAGCTGGAATTGGAATTCTGTTCTTGGCTCTCTCCCATGAAAGCAGCCCATAGAGCTGAATGGAGCATCATGAAGGCCATTCTTTACACAGAAAATAGGTTATGTTTTAAACTGGGTTAGCTGCCATGTTTTCACTAACATGATTTTAAGTAGGATTTTGCAGCTAATGTAGACATGTCAAGTTGTGATTGTTAGCTGATTGTCATTAACCCCAGACGCACCTTACCCCAAAGTTAGTGGGGGCAGAAATGACACTCAGTAAAAAGGATGAGGACTATTGTTTGTATATCCCAGATCAGTAGCAGACTTGAACTGATACTAAAAAGCAAAGACAAGATAAAGAACTAGCTACTAAATTGACCGCATCCATTCAGGTTAGAGTTCTACATAGAACCGACTAAACATTTCCATAGCTCCTGCAGTGGGGTTTGTGGGAGGGAACTCAGTTTTAGAGGTTACAGTATAAGACTGTGAATCACAAATTCTGAGTTCCTTTCCCAACTCTCTCACTGACTGTGGAATCTGAAACAGAGACAGATTTCTTATTGTGCTAATTTCCTCATCTGTAAAATGAACATCCCTGCCTACCTTGCAGGGGTGACATACAGGTTAACTAATGCTTGAAAGCATTCTGAGAGAATCACATGTCCTGATGGCACATATCGAAAGAAACTGATCAAGTCTGATCTCTGATTATTTCCATATGTGTTCAATCTTCATAATAAGTGCAAAGTATTATTGTTTCTGAAATAATACAGTATATAATAAAACATTTTCTATAACCTCAGTTGCATAGGCACAGTTTTTGGTAATATTTTTCATTCTTGGACAATTCTAATTTTGCTGTGATAATGGTCGGTCTCTTTACTGATGTAGGCTTTTTAATATAGTACGTTCTCATAGGAATGTGTTTAATAGTTAGCACCCATATCCTATACATTCTTTTCAGCCATCAGCACAGCCTTCCTTAGTGATATTCAGTGGAGAAGGCAATTAGCTATGAAGCTAATTTAGTTACAGATTTGGTCCTGAATCCTGCAAACATGTATGCACAAGCTTAACTTTGTGCACATGAGTAACCCCCTTGAAGTCAATGAGATTAGTTTTATGCATGAAATTAAGAACATGCATAAATGTTTGCAGGATTGGGACCTAAACTGGCCTATAGATGCTAGTAAATTTTCACTCTTATCTTAAACTCTAGAATTAATCTGTGGTGCACTGTATAAATACAGATTACTGTGCACTCTTAATTTAAATGACTTTCATTGACATTTTGTCCAGAATACATTGTCATACATGGTACGAAGAAATGCTGTGTGTTTGTTTAAAGTTATAAAAAAAAATGTTATATGCAAAATAATAAGTGATCATGTCACCGAAGAGAGGACCCAGTGTAAACAAAAACATGTAATTAAAGACCAGGTCAAATGTATTCAAAGTGTTATATATTCAACTTTACCATTGTAGCTCCCTGATTTTTAAGTGCTTAGCTGTGTAACTTTAATGTTTTCTTAATATAGGGTTGGGTTTGGGTTTTGCTTTTGTTTTGTTTTGTGCAGAAATTAGCATTTTATTTTAAAATGTATACGTTTAATTACGTAAACTGCCAACTCTGTCAGGAGCTGCCAAGCTCCATGCTTTAATCATAGTTCAGCTGGATTTGAGAGACCCTTAGTTTCTAAGATGCCCCATTCCAAATACACAAAGGTTATGTCTACATTGCAGCAGTACAGCTATGGGATTGCAGCTGTTTCTCTATAGCACAGATGCTTTCTACCTTGACAAAAGGAGTTTTTCTGTCAATATAGGTAATCCATCTCTCCGAGAGGCGGTAACTAGATTGGTGGACGAATACTTCCATCCACCTAGCTGCATTTACGCAGGAAGTTAGGTTGATATAACTGCAGTGCTTAGGGCAAGAAATTTTTCCACAGTCCTAAACTGCGTAGGTAAGTTGACCTAAAGTTTAGAGGCAATCTAGGCCTAAATTGTTTCACTGTGTTAAGGTTAGAGAACAAACAGGTCCCATAACTATTCAAAGCAAACAACCTTGCAATAAAGTGCCAAGGAACAGCTGCATTAAGCTGTTTTCAAGAATCACTAATGAAGTCAACATCTGCCACAGATCAAACAGGGAGACTAACACCAGATGAGAATTGAAGTAATCAGAATAGACACAGACCTAACAGCAACCATTTTGTACCATAAGAAGCAAAGAGAACAAGCATAAACTGCCTAAGACTTGTTTTGATGACTGTCACCCTTCTCCCTCCCCCTCTGTACCAATCTTACCTGAAGAGAGCAAGGCGAAGGTAGCTAGGAAAAGTATGGTGGCTGTGGCTGCCTTCATAACAATGCAGCAGTAATCCCACTGTACCAGAGCCTTCTCTTCTTGTCTCATACCAGGGATTCCAATGCAATGACTGGAGCTGCTGACAGAAAAAAAATGGTTTTAGGCATCAGCACAAGAAACCAATAAAAACAACAGAGAAGACTGAAAAAGGGATGATGTGTCTGAGTAGGCAGAAGGAATGGCAGCCAGCCATGAGGTGAGAGGAGGATTAAGGAGGCGCAAGAGGCCCCATTCCTAGGCACAGATGGAAAGCATTAGTGTATTTTCTGCTCTACCATGCGCAAACCTCTGCTGGAGGTTCAGTCCTGACAGCCTTCAGGCAGACACAATATGGGAGCATGCAATATCCTGGTGCCTAATTTTTTTTGCTGTCCAAAGGCTTCCAGCAGTAACTTTAGGCTCACAAACACCACGTGGACCTTGAACAGAACTCATCAGTTGCCCTGTCTGTGCTTGTGACAGTCTGTACCCTCATGTTCACCCTTTTTACAAACTGGATTTTGTACAAAGTATGCCTGGTGAGGTATCATTTGAAAACTCATCTGCTGAACACTACCATCCTGGTAAAATATGAGTGGTAACGTTGTATGTGAAGTTATAAAGTTCTATTGTATAAGACATGTTCCAAGTCTGGGGAAACCACTTCAACCAGTTCCCCAGAGACAAAAGGCTATCCAACACCTAAGCTAGGTGTCAACATATTCAAATGGACTATCACATGGTTAAGCAGCCATTCTTTGGCAGGAAGAAGGGTCTGAGCAAGAAATATACATCTTGGTAATGGAACACTAGAGGTTCCCTTGAAAACAGACTTTCTGTTGCCTGAACCCCAGCTGGAGATGAGTATCAAATAAGAGAATTGCTATAAGAAAGGGGAGCAAACTCCCCAGATTCTCTCTCCTCCCTTTCTCTCTGCTCACAACATCCACAACGTCTGAAAGACAAGGAAAGGAGCACTGGATTGGGGAATGGGTTCTGGCTGAAAGGCATCCAATAAGACTGCAAAACCATGTGATGAGAAAGACATTTTGCTTTCAATTCACTTAGCTTGTTAAGTGAGATATTAGTTACATCTTACCTTTTATTTTCTTATAGCCAAATTCTGACTTTTATGCCTCATTACTTGTAATCACTTAATCTTTCTTTCGGTCGTTAATAAACTTGTTTTATCTAAGCCAGTGTGTTTGGACTGAAGTGTTTGGGAAACTCCATTTGGAATACCAAGATTTGCGCACATCATTTTCTATTAATGAAATGATGGACTTTCTATGAGCCTGTATTGTCCAGGAGGGTACAGGGCAGTACAAGACTCACATTTCAGGGGACAAGTCTGGGACTGGGAATTTGCTGCTTTCCATCTGTAATATAATTCAGGAGTGGCTGGCTAGTGATTTTCATCCTGGAGGTTGAGAGAGAGAGCAGACCAGGAGTGGTTGGTCTCACAGAGAAGCAGTGTAAAAGTCACCCCAGGTTGGAGAATTGAGGGGACACAGATGTCCATTGGTCCAGACTGTACTCTGGGTAATGTCACAGTGCTCCACGAAGAAGTTGTGGTGTTTTTGAATTTAAATCTCTGTCCTACACCTACCTGGCATTGTTTCACTTTGTGGTTTCCATTCTAGTTTCGCAGCATGAGGAATTATTAATTCAGTATGGTGCTTTTCATCTGTAAAGTACTTTACAAATAGTAAGAACCCGACTTGTGCCTGTCTTTTCCTGTTCAGTTATTTTGGATATTTGTGTATGCAGAGTAATTAAACATGTAAATAAAGATAATTGTGTAAAAATATCTGCATATCCGGGGCTTTCACTCTTTGAAAATCAGCCCCTGTGTGATTGACCTTCACAACTTCCCTGCGTAAGTGTACCAGTGGTTGAAGACTGTTAGTGAGAACTGCACACACTCTGTACCATGAGAAATAAATTAAATCTGTGCCATTGGTAAGAGAACCACTGTAGTGACAAAAAACAGATCCTTAGTAGAAAGCATTGCAGTAAATACATTTTTGTGAGACACATAGAAAACGCTAACTTTTTAGCTTTTAAAATGTATAGGTCTCTCCCTTTTCACTGGACATCTATGCCTCTGAGGTAGGTAAGAATTAACCTCAATTTCCCCATCTGTGAGATTGAGGTAAGAGACTTGTTCAGACCACTGGACCATACATCTCTGAGGGCCACTGCCAAAAATAATGTGGTGGTGTTTTTTTTTTTAAATGTTTATACCTGCTATATAGTTACAAATAACTAATAATCAAAAAGGCTCAGATTCTCAAAGAGATTTAGGTTATGTCTACATGACAGCCGCTATATAACCTCAGCAGCGGCACTGTTCCTGTGCCCCCATAGCCCTATACTGTAAATACTTCCTGCATTGATGGAAAAATCCTATCCATCAATGTAGTTAGCCCAGCTCTCTGAGTGGCGATAGCTATGTTGATGGAAAAATTCTTCGATCCACCTAGCTGTCTTCATAGGGGTTAGGTCAACATAACTATGGCAGTCAGGGCATGAGATTTTTTTACAGCTTTTAGGGTATGTCTACACTACGGAATAAGGTCGAATTTATAGAAGTCGGTTTTTTAGAAATTGGTTTTATATATTCGAGTGTGTGTGTCCCCCAGAAAATGCTCTAAGTGCATTAACTCGGCGGAGCACTTCCACAGTACCGAGGCTAGAGTCGACTTCCGGAGCGTTGCACTGTGGGTAGCTATCCCACAGTTCCCGCAGTCTCCGCTGCCCATTGGAATTCTGGGTTGAGATCCCAATGCCTGATGGGGCTAAAACATTGTCGCAGGTGGTTCTGGGTACATATCGTCAGGCCCCCGTTCCCTCCCTCCGTGAAAGCAAGGGCAGACAATCGTTTCGCGCCTTTTTTCCTGAGTTACCTGTGCAGACGCCATACCACGGCAAGCATGGAGCCCGCTCAGGTAACCGTCACCCTATGTCTCCTGGGTGCTGGCAGACGCGGTACGGCATTGCTACACAGTAGCAGCAACCCCTTGCCTTGTGGCAGCAGACGGTACAGTACGACTGGTAGCCGTCATCGTCATGTCCGAGGTGCTCCTGGCCACCTCGGCTGGGAGCGCCTGGGCAGACATGGGCGCAGGGACTAAATTTGGAGTGACTTGACCAGGTCATTCTCTTTAGTCCTGCAGTCAGTCCTATTGAACCGTCTTATGGTGAGCGGGCAGGCGATACGGACTGCTAGCAGTCGTACTGTGCCATCTTCTGCCAGGCAGGCATGAGATGTGGATGGCATGCAGTCCTTCTGCACCGTCTGCTGCCAGCCAAAGATGTAAAAGATAGATGGAGTGGATCAAAACAAGAAATAGACCAGATTTGTTTTGTACTCATTTGCTTCCCCCCCTTCCCTGTCTAGGGGACTCATTCTTCTAGGTCACACTGCAGTCACTCACAGAGAAGGTGCAGTGAGGTAAATCTAGCCATGTATCAATCAGAGGCTAGGCTAACCTTCTTGTTCCAATAAGAACGATAACTTAGGTGCACCATTTCTTATTGGAACCCTCCGTGAAGTCCTGCCTGAAATACTCCTAGATGTAAAGCCACCCCCTTTGTTGATTTTAGCTCCCTGAAGCCAACCCTGTAAGCCGTGTCCTCAGTCGCCCCTCCCGGCGTCAGAGCAACGGCAAACAATCGGGCATCTGAGAGTGCTGTCCAGAGCGGTCACAATGGAGCACTCTGATGGGGCTAAAACATTGTCGTGGGTGGTTCTGGGTACGTATCGTCAGGCCCCCGTTCCCTCCCTCCCTCCATGAAAGCAAGGGCAGACAATCATTTCGCGCCTTTTTTCCTGAGTTACCTGTGCAGACGCCATACCACAGCAAGCATGGAGCCCGCTCAGGTAACCGTCACCCTATGTCTCCTGGGTGCTGGCAGACGCGGTACGGCTTTGCTGCACAGTAGCAGCAACCCATTGCCTTCTGGCAGCAGACGGTGCAATACGACTGGTAGTCGTCCTCGTCGTGTCCGAGGTGCTCCTGGCCACGTCGGCTGGGAGTGCCTGGGCAGACATGGGCGCAGGGACTAAATTTGGAGTGACTTGACCAGGTCATTCTCTTTAGTCCTGCAGTCAGTCCTATTGAACCGTCTTATGGTGAGCAGGCAGGCGATACGGACTGCTAGCAGTCGTACTGTACCATCTTCTGCCAGGCAGGCAAGAGATGAGGATTGCTAGTAGTCGTATTGTACCATCTTCTGCCGAGCAGCCATGAGATGTGGATGGCATGCAGTCCTTCTGCACCGTCTGCTGCCAGCCAAAGATGTAAAAGATAGATGGAGTGGGTCAAAACAAGAAATAGACCAGATTTGTTTTGTACTCATTTGCCTCCTCCCCTGTCTAGGGGACTCATTCCTCTAGGTCACACTGCAGTCACTCACAGAGAAGGTGCAGCGAGGTAAATCTAGCCATGTATCAATCAGAGGCCAGGCTAACCTCCTTCTTCCAATAAGAACGATAACTTAGGTACACCATTTCTTATTGTAACCCTCCGTGAAGTCCTGCCTGAAATACTCCTTGATGTAAAGACACACCCTTTGTTGATTTTAGCTCCCTGAAGCCAACCCTGTAAGCCGTGTCGTCAGTCGCCCCTCCCTCCGTCAGAGCAACGGCAGACAATTGTTCCGCGCCTTTTTTCTGTGCGGACGCCATACCAAGGCAAGCATGGAGGCCGCTCAGCTCACTTTGGCAATTAGGAGCACATTAAACACCACACGCATTATCCAGCAGTATATGCAGCACCAGAACCTGGCAAAGCGATACCGGGCGAGGAGGCGACGTCAGCGCGGTCACGTGAGTGATCAGGACATGGACACAGATTTCTCTGAAAGCATGGGCCCTGCCAATGCATGCATCATGGTGCTAATGGGGCAGGTTCATGCTGTGGAACGCCGATTCTGGGCTCGGGAAACAAGCACAGACTGGTGGGACCGCATAGTGTTGCAGGTCTGGGACGATTCCCAGTGGCTGCGAAACTTTCGCATGCATAAGGGCACTTTCATGGAACTTTGTGACTTGCTTTCCCCTGCCCTGAGGCGCATGAATACCAAGATGAGAGCAGCCCTCACAGTTGAGAAGCGAGTGGCGATAGCCCTGTGGAAGCTTGCAACGCCAGACAGCTACCGGTCAGTTGGGAATCAATTTGGAGTGGGCAAATCTACTGTGGGGGCTGC